TCCTATGAGCTTGAACGTAGACACCAGTGACTATTTCCCAGAGGGCTGGGAGGACTATGAGGCACCCGCGGGAGGTGTCGATGAGGAGTTGCATGGAGAATTGAGTGGGGGTGAGGAGATCGAGAAGATCGCACAAAGCACACCCTTGAAGCCGAGTGCGCAGGAGGTGGATCAGCACAATGTTACTCATTTGCCATATAGGAGTTGGTGCAATCATTGTGTTAGAGGCCGTGGACGAGCGCTAGCACATCAACGAGTGAGAGAAGATGCTGACGACAAAGCAAGGAGGAGGCCTCGGGTGAGCATGGACTACTTTTATCTTGGACGGCGGGAGGAGGAATGTTTGCCTCTTCTGGCGATCTTGGAGGAGAAGTCACAAAGAACTTTTTCAGTGGCCATGCCGTGCAAAGGGGTTACAGATCATCAGTATCCAGTGACCATTGTTGTTAAGTTGCTTCGTTGTTTGGGCCTGCAAGATGCAGTGTTGAAGACTGATACGGAACGGTCTCTGGTGGCGCTTCGCAATGAGGTTCAGGCGAGACTTCCCGGTGTTGGCTTTGAAGATGCTGTCAAAGGGGAGAGCGAGACCAATGGACCCATTGAGAATGCAGTGGGTAAGCTCCAGGGAATGTGTCGGACCTTGAAGTCAGCTTTGGAGGCTAACTATGGGGCCGCCATATCCTCTCGACATCCAATCTTGCCTTGGTTGATCGATTATGCTGGGACTTTGCTATCCAGGTTCAGTAGAGGACAAGATGGCAGAACTCCCTATGAAAGATCAACAGGGAAACGGTGGCAGCTGAAGCTTCCTGCATTTGGGGAATGCGTTCTTTTTCAGAGGTTGAAAGGTGAACGGAATCCTGCCAAGATTGAGCCTCGTTTTGAAGATGGGGTGTATCTGGGTTTGCAAGAAGGCACAGCTTTGATGTGGATTGGTACGGATCGAGGAGTTGAACGAGCTTGGAGCGTGAAGCGGAGGCCCAGGGACGAGCAGTGGAAGAAGGAAGCATTGGAGTCTTTGATTGGGTTGCCGTGGCAGTTGAAGCCACCAGTGACTGCAGATCCAGGACCCTTGCGACCGATAGAGATCGAGCTATCAGAGGAGCCGAAAATACCCGAGCCGTTGGTGAAGTTGAAGGGTAGGGACTATGTGCCAAGAGGTCTCTACATTCGTCGTGACGTGGAGTTGCAGCAGTTCGGATACACTGAAGGGTGTGATGGTTGCTTGGCAGCTCAAAGTGGACTTGCTCATCGTCAGCATAGCAGAGTTTGCAAAGCAAGGATTGCAAATGAGTTGAGCAAAACAGAGGATGGTAAAGCCAGAGTGGAACGAGTTCATGAACGTGCAGAGAGGTACATTGTCGCTTATAAGAACAGAGAAGATGAGAGGAAACGCAAGCTTGATGATGACAAACTTGCAAAAGGAAAGAAGGCGACGTTGAGGAAATCAGAAGATGAAGAGATCACAGAGCTTGACAAAATTCTTGGACCATCACCAGGTACTGAGTCTTCAGGTTTGCGGCCGCCAGATCAGAGTCGGGTCGAGTTGCTTCCAGGAGGACCACCCTCGCTTCATTTCCCTGGTCCATCAGTTGCACCGGCGGTGGAGGTGAGTGGAGGGCCCGTGGTGGTGGAGGTGGAGGATCTTGATGAATCGATTGTCATGGACGTTGGATCACTTGATCGAAACCAAGAATTTGAGCTTGTGAGAAGAGAGGTCAGTCTTGATGAGACAGCAGAGCTCATGCTTGACGAGGAAGTGGAGGCTCGAAGGATCCTCTTGCAGACAGGAGCTTTGACCGTGAAGGCGGCCTACAGCTTCAGCAGTCCAGTGTTGGTCGAGCTTTTCTCTCCGCCAAGGTTGACAGACTATGCACAGAGGAGGGCGCTCGGACAAGGTCTCGCATTGGATTTGACAACCTCTGATGACCAAGGGGTTGCATGGGATTTTAATGTGAAAGAGCGGAAGGACAGTGCATCAGAGCCAATTGAGAGTATGAGCCCAGATTTGTTGTTGGGATGTCCCCCATGTCGCATGTACAGCTTGCTTCAATACCTCAATCAACATAGAGTTGACCCGGAGGTGTGGGACAAAGCAATGACAGAAGCAGAGAACCATCTTGAGTTTTGTGTTGAACAATATGAAGCCCAGATGAGGAGGAACAAATTTCTCTTGCACGAACATCCAGCATTTGCTACATCATGGAAGTCGCCATCGGTTGAACGCTTGAAAGACAAGGAAGGAGTGTTTCATGTTGTTGGCGACATGTGTGAGCAGGACATGCGTGTGTCGGATGAACATGGCGAGGGTTTTGCCAAGAAGAGTACAGGTTACCTCACCAACAGTGAATGCATTGCACAGGAACTTTCCAAGCGCTGCTCAAATGATCCGGATGCATTGAGTGTTTTCAGGCAGGTCAACTTCAGTGCAACAAAAGGGCAGTATCCAGGCCAAGGGGGCCCATCTTGGGAACGTGTGCAGAGAAGGGTGACGTTTGATTTGACAAATCATCGTTTGTTGCAGGATTTGAGAGATGTTCATTCAGCCACAAAAGAAACGTTAGAATTCAGAATTCCATCACAATGCAAACAAGTTGAAACAGTTTTCTACCACATCAAACCAGGCAAGGTATGGCACAGACATGTTCCCCTTTTGGGGGGTAAGGCAAAGCAGTGCGAAGTGTACCCCAATCTTCTCTTGCGCAGTATCTTGAAGGGGCTGAGAAAACAGTTGAAGAAGGTGAAGCCAATGAGCGCACTTAGTTTTGGTCCAACAAATGAAGAAGTCGATTTGGACATTGAACTGGCACCCTCAGGTTTACAGCTTGCAGATGATTGGATTAGTTTTGTTGATGAGATTTCCGGCAAACCGCTGTCAGCAGCAGGAGTGCGAAAGGCTAGAGCAGAGGAGATTGACTATGCTGTGCGCTATGGTGTGTGGGACACTGTACCCATAGCTGAGGCTTATGAGTATGACTCTAAAGGGCCAATATCTTCTCGCTGGATTGACATCAACAAAGGAGACGAAGATCATCCTTCGTATCGTTCTCGCTTGGTCATTCAAGAGATCAGGCAGTCGCATATCGAGGCGGTGTTCGCAGCCACGCCTCCCTTAGAGTCCGTGAGGCTGCTTTTGAGTTTGCAGCGAAGTTGCACAGATCTCGATAGCAAGGGGAGGAGGAAGAAAGTTCTTTTTGTTGACATTCGCCGTGCACATTGGACAGCCCGTATATTCAGACGAGTGTACGTTAGACTTCCAGTGGAGGCGGGAAATCCAGAAGGAACTTGTGGCCGGCTCAACAAGGCCATGTATGGTTGTCGTGACGCCGCAGCATGTTGGGAGCTTGAGATCACAGACTTCTTTACAACCAACGGTTTTGCTCCTGGCATTGGCAGCCCAGTTCTTTTTGTCAACACTACAAGAGACTTGAAGGTTTCGATACACGGTGATGACATTACAGTGTTGGGTTTTGAAGATGATTTGATGTGGCTTTACAAACAGATGGGCACAAGATATGAGATGAAGTTTGGGGGCTTGCTTGGACCAGACAAGGCAGATGTTCAGAATGTTGCCATCTTGAACAGGCTTGTGCATTGCGGTCCAACAGCAACAACATTTGAAGCAGACCCCCGACATGTTGAGATTATTTTGAATGAGTTGAATTTGACAACAGCCAAGACAGTTTCGTCGCCCGGTGTCAGCAGCTCCAATCCCGATGAAACATTGTTGACAGGTACTGATATCACAAGGTACCGTAGCTTGACAATGAGGGCAAACTACTTGAGCTTGGACAGGCCAGACATCGCCTATGCGACCAAAGAGTTGGCTAGAGGCATGCAGAATCCTACTCAAGGACACTACAACGGCTTGAAACGGCTTGCAAGATATCTTGGAGGACACCGGAGGCTCGTGTGGAGCTATGCGGAACAGTCAGAGCAAAGCAAGTTGAAAATGTTTTCGGATTCGGATGATGGTGGATGCCTCACAACAAGGAAGAGTACTTCAGGTGGTGCATTGATGCATGGCAGTCACTTGTTGAAATTTTACTCTTCAACCCAGCATGTGATCAGCTTGAGTTCAGGAGAAGCGGAGTTCTACGCAGGCATTAAAGCTGGGAGTGTTTTGTTGGGTGGCATTGCGACAATGCAAGATTTGGGTTGTGAGTTTTCAGCAGAGTTGGTGTTTGATGCATCTGCCGCGAAGACTATGCTTGGAAGACGTGGCCACGGTAAGGCCAAACACATTGCACGATGTTTCTTGTGGCTGCAACAGAGGATTCAAGATGGTGATATTATGTTGGGAAAGTGCGGAACCAGTGTAAATCCAGCAGATTTGGCAACCAAACATCTGGATGGTGCTCGCATCGTAGAGTTGCTTGAGTTGATGAGCCTTAGATTTGAAAGTGGCTCACACTCGATGGCGTTGAAGGCCTGACATGCGGATGGCGGTACCCGTACAGACCGACCATCCGAGGGGGCCTGTCAAGGGTTGAGGTCAAGGCCTTATGGCTATGATCTAGTGAAGTATCTGTTCATTCCAGCCGAAGAAAAGAGGTGCTCAAGAGTTTCGCAAGGTCTCTCATGTTTATAGCTTGCCGGAGCTGAAAAGCAGACATGCATACAAGGCCAACCAACAAGCACTGAAAACGCAGCAGGCACCGGTTCAACAACCGCAGACACTGAAGAGAGCACACCAAGAACTTTTGCAAGCACACTAAGCCACAGCCCTGCTGTTTGCTTCGAAAGCCTCTCACATGGTACTGATATAGCTTCTGCAACATGGAGATGCACAACCGTCACTTCACAAATGACACCATCATGGCATCACAGATAGGGGACGACCCAGTTTGGCATATTGCATATTGGATGAAAAAATATTGTCCGCAATATAATATAGAGTTTATTTATACCCAATGAACAAAGCTGCTGGATGCAAAGAGGTTCCGAAGACATTAAGCAGCACTCTAGTTCTAGTGACGTCAAAGAAGTGCTACACGAAGGCTCTACTTCATGGACTTCTTCCTTGGGGAGCCGATGGTTGCCAACCTGCCACCATTTCAAACAGTGAAAGGATAATCTATTGCAGGTGTCGATGATCTTGGTCTGTAAGATTTCCAAAGGCTGAGGTTCAGTGGTGACAAATAAGTTCAAGTGTTTGCGTTGTGCGACTCCAGAAGATGGCAGCCATGCAAGCAACACAGAATATGACATGGCAGGAAGCTCTCAAGGAGTTGAGAGAACGCGGTTGTCACATCTATTGTGCAGAAGACCATTTTGCTGAAGCTGTGAAACCTCATGGGCCAAGTGGCAAAAGGAGCTTGAACGCCGAATGCAACTCAAACTTGAAAATGCTCACCCCTGCTTACTTGAATATACTGTACATGTTCTCTTGGAGCAACCCTTGGACATTTGTTAAATATTCTTCAAGAGGGATCAAGAGGGTCCCAAGCGGAATCGCACCTCTCATTAGCGCTTGCACACTGGCGTTTATCTCAGCATCCTGAAATAGTATCGATTCCTTGGGGTCCCTTTTCTCCAGACATCCGTGGTAGGTTTCAGTGTCATGTTTCCATTTCCTTCGTGATTCTTCTCGTGTTCGAGCTTCGTGTCTCGCCCAATTAGAGTCCATTGGTTCCCTGAGAGAAAACGGGCTTCTGCGCCTTTGGTTGGCCAACGTTACTCGTAGGCCCAGCCTCATGCACGAGTTTCACGTACTACTCATCTGGCAGGAACTGGGCCTTGATCGTGGGACATGAGCAGCTGGGCGTCTCCAAAGAGTGTATCGCCATGAGCGATACTTGCATCTCTGTCCCTTGGAATAAACATGCTTTTTGCTTGGTTCACACTCGATCCTGTTTGATACCTTCTTCGTCTTGACACCTGTCACCTGCCAGCCACCACACGGTAAATGTTCATACATTTTACGGTATACCGTTTCATAACATTGAGAGACGGCGGCATGGCAGCACCCTTGTGCCACTGACCCAATGTGAGGTGCCATCACGCCAAGGAGAATCTTTGAATGTGGCCCATGCAGCTGCCATTTGCCTCTATGAGCTATCACGGCACATGGAAGAGCCATGAGACAAATCAATCCGAGAGCTTGACTTATAGGGGAGGGAGGAGAAGGCACACATAAATCAACCTTGGGTTTTGAGAGTGAAGCCTTTGAACATGCACAAGTGGAAACTGCAAGTTATTCTTCAGGGGCATGCTATCAACTGCTGCTATCAACTGACGTGTCTTGCATTTTCCGCCGGCCTGCAGCGTCCAGTAGCTGGAAGACAGCCAAGAAGTGACAAGCAGACAAGCAGACAAGCTTCAGCAAGTATCGTATCGTTGGAGACTGGTGGTGCAGACAAGCTGTATAGCATTCTTCACATTCAGGCCAACCATTCTAGTGACGCAGACAACTGCAGGTGACACTTTTAATTCTTTATGCCAGCACTTCACCATAGTTCCAGGTACCAAGTGTGAACAACGCAGGCAAACAAGCTCTATATAGAGTTCAGATGATCTCACGCTGGAGGCAGTTCCAACAACACCTTCTATTTCAATCACCAAGGGTCAGCTTGGGCATGCTGCTCCCAAGGCCAGGAATTGTTGGGCTGGACACACTTTCTCGTTGGATTCAATGTTGGGCTTTGGAAGGTGAGTCATGCTGCGGATGATGCCCTCACCACAGGCGCAATTTGAACTAATTCGGTTGGCTAACGGCTAAGGGTTTGACGTTTCGACCATGGGACGAGACAAAGCCCAGCCTTGCAAAAGAGGATCATGTCCGATAAGACCAAGTCCGGGAGTAGCTGGTTCCAAGCAGTTTGCCTTTCTTGGCTTCGTGCTTTCATTGGAGTTTCCTCTCTCTCTCTCTCTCTTTCTCACGGCAGGCAGCTGTTGCACGCCAGCAGCTGTCTCCTGAGTACGGTGGAATCGACTTGGACGATTTCTGCCTGCACATGAAGCGTACAAAGCGTACAACTTCCATTGTAGGTTTCTTTCTTTGCGTCCTGAGGCAAGTGTCTCCGTCACCCTGGCCACTAGTGCATGCAGTGGGGGCTTGTTCCTCATGTTGACTTTCGTGTGTCGATAAGAAAGCTGCTAGCTATAGCAGTAGAACCAAGGCAAAGCAGTCTCCTCGGCCGTACTCCCCGACAGATGAGGTGCAAAGAAAGTGAAACAAATACTTTGAAGATCTTTGAAGAGTGCTTGACAAAGAGTCTTGAAAGCTGGAAAACCAGAATCAGTCACTCCTTTCTAAGCAGGTAACCATGGTACCAGTTGAAGGCTTCCTTTTCAAACAAGCAGACGGCCAGATAGCTTGGCAGCACTGGTGCAGTTGGCACTTGGTGATTGAAGCTATTGCTCCAGTCAGGGATTTCGCCCACTGTCGCCATGAGCGTGGAAGGACAAGAGCTGCTTTGGGGGCCAGAGGCAATACGACAAGACTTGATCGCTGCTTTAGAGCATGCGGTGCTTCACTTGCTCTTCTGTGCAAGTCGAACCAATGAGAGGGCCATTTCTCGTCCTGTACTGTTGACCTCGCATGGGAAGAACTCTTTGGGAATCAAGCTGGAGCGGCTTCTTGGTGGCACTTCGCGTCAACAGTTGCGGTTGAAGCGTTTGCTAGCCTTGCTCGACTCAGTCCACGGTTTGCTGTGCAGTGGCCGTCACGCCACTCCTCGGGAGCTCTATTATCGGCATGTGAGCCTTTTCCCAAGGCAGCAATTGAGTGATGACCTCTTGAAAACTCTGTGCCAGACTTTGGAAGTTCCACGGCATTATTTACGCTTGGTTGGCACTGCCAAAGGATTGGTTCGAGGTCACTTACGCATTTTAGAGCCCAGACCTGGTGATCATGACTCGGTGTGGGTAGATGGAATGGACCCTCTTGAGCCACGAGGCCATTCCATTTCTCCGATTTGTGCTCATGTCTTGAAAGTGCAGACAGTGGCACAGAAAGTCTTCGTTGTCGAGAAAGAGACAGTCTTTCATCGTCTCCTCGATCTTGGCTTCTTGGAGAAGCACAAACCCTGTGTGCTTGTCACTGCCCGTGGATTTCCTGATGTGCCGACGCGGTACTTCTTGCGTCACCTCCAGACTTGCGCCAGCCCTGACTTCTATGTTCTTGTGGACTTTGACCCTTCAGGTTTAGTCATTGCAGCAACCTATGCGTTTGGCCCTGAAGCTGGCTTTTGGATGCAGGATGATCTCACTCTGGAGACCGTGCCTTTGATTTGTGCCGGCGGTGTTGAGGGGGCGTCTGACTTTGGGCTGAAGCGCAGTGATGTCCTACCACTTACGCGACGGGACCTGGCTGTTGCCAGTGGGCTGCAGCGGAGGCTTACACAGCTCAAACCCAGGGAGGAGATCATGAATGTATATCAAGAGGCGCTAAGCCAACTCTCACAGGGAGGTGTCAAGTATGAATTGGATGCGCTGGAGCGACTGCCTGAATTCATTGCATACACGCTACGCAAGAGAGCTCAGATGGGGCATTAAGTGATATAGAGCTCTGGAACTTCGGAAGAAAAAGGACCATTCTATTTTGAGGGTGCATGACACAGCACGCTTTTTGTGCTCGGCTGTTCCTGAAGATCGCAGTCATGTTCAATCAGACTACATACTTGCCGGGTTGTTTGAATGCCTTCTTGCCTGTTCCGTGAAGGTTAGGATGTCTGACTTTGAGATCCTTGACGGGGTCGGCGGTCGGGATGCTTAACTCTGCCAATAGGACATATAGACCCATGGACAATCGCTCCGATTTGCTTTCTAGATGTAGGGAGAACACCTGCTAGAGCAGTTTGCTGCAGAGGTTTTCCATGATTTTCCTTTTGCTTTCTAAGGTGGCACAAAGTAAGGTCGTCCATGGAATCTGGATATATAGCGAAAGAACACAGTTTTGCACAAGAAAGACTGCAAGTGGCATGGTGTGTGCCAATATTCCAAGGCCGCTCATTGGGTAAAGGATCCTTTGGCGTGGTGCGACGGGTCAGAAGGAAGGCGCAGATGTGGATGGCGTAGTGCCGATGGTGGGTGAATCTGGAAGGCTTGGTTGGATAACCTTTGCATCCCTGAGGGGACTGATGACGTCTATGCGCTGAAGACCATGCAGAAGATGGAGGCCAAAATTCCAAAAAGCGCAGAACATCTACTAGGTGTCCCTTCCTTTTCCAGTCTGGATTGATCAATCCATCTCCACGTTTCTCAGTTTTCTCAGTGCAAATATGATCGGTGTTGACCATGGGAGCAGTATGCTCTGATTGCAGACGATAGGCACATGCAAGTGCTTTTGTGCTAGAACCGATGCAAGGAAGTCGCACTGTTAGCAGTTTTGGTTGTCGGCTGAAGCAATTTGCCTCAAGGATCCCGGGCACTTTTAGAACCGAACAAGCTGGCTTGTGTCTTTACGATTCGTTTTTTTTTTTAAATCTGCCTGCTATTTGGACTTGTTGGAATCTGACTTCTTCTGGAAGGTGACTTGTTTCTGCATACAATACATTGAATACCCAAATGGATTTTGGACCATGCACAGTGGACACCCTTGCTGGTGAGGTGATGAGTGGTCAGCTTATAGAACAGGCCGGATGACTGGAGTTTCCAAGTAACTTACTGTGCTTTTGCCATGGCGCAGCTTTGCACGAGGTGGAGCGGGAGATCATGGTGCAACAGAACTTAAAGCACGAGAATGTACTCCGGCTGTTCAAGCATTTTGAGGCCCAACTTGCTGAGTTTCGGCAGTTTCGGATTCTTTTTTGACCAAGATTGGCCTCTCGAATCCTGCACATATCTCCATCATGTGAATCATGGCTCATGTGAGTGAAACGATGCTATGTGGTTTCAATTTATTATAGCCCTCTGCTGCAAGGACGAAGACAACGTCTATTTGCTCCTGGAGTATTGTGCTAAGGGAGAGCTTTACCAGCTGCTGAGGTACCTGGGGATCAGGAAACTTTCAAGGCCCCCCCAAAAAAGGTAGCGATTTGGCGATTTTGAACAATTTCATTTATGCGGAGTAATCATTCTTGTCCATTCCTGAATGGATTTGGAGTTAACTTCGGTGCTACAGGACTCAGAAGGGACGCAAGTTCAACGAGCAGACCTCAAGGCATTTCTTTGTGCAGGTGGCCTGGGTGCCTTCGTTGATGGTTCTTCACAGAGATTTGTTCGTGACAGCATTTTCCCCAAAAGGTTTGTAAATTAGATCAAGGACTTGGCCTGCTTTTTTATAGCTGTGATTCTGGACTTGAATCCACGTTGAGCTCTTTGGAATTAGGAAAGCTACTTCCAACAATGTGAAACGTTGAGATGAAGCACTCGAGGAGTTGTCTTTTCATACCGATCGCACACTTTGCCTGTGCTCGGCCAGTTGGTGCGGGGGCTGAAGTACCTCCATTCGCATCAAATCGTGCACAGGGACTTGAAGCCAGAGGCGAGGTGGTTGAAATGCATTTGTACTTGTTTCGGTGCTTAGTGTTTGACTCCAGAACTCCTTCGACAAGCCGTATCTTTCTGAAGGGCTCGATTGGCCTTTTCCTTCTTTCTTGTGAGCCACTTCTGCGAGGGACGCACGTCAACAACTCAACAACGTCATGATGTATTCCAGCACACTATCCAACTGATGCACAGATTTGTTGCTTCCAAGAGAGCTACAAACTGCGGCAGTGCAACAATTTGATTTTCCTGAGTTGGCACCTGTTGCATACTCAGGATGTGTGGTCTGTATAACAGCTGCTGACTCCTGTCTTTCTCCCGGGAATACAACCCATTCTTTCTAGTGCATATGCTTGCAGCTTGTAGATGCTTGACCCGCTTTTACGCTAACATTCCTGCAAACTTTGGTAGGAGCTTGAAGGCTTGCAGACGTCAGTCACTTCAATCTCGAGTTTGTTCCTTTTGCGCAGAACTTGTTGATCACTCACGATGACGTTTTGAAGATTGCAGACTTCGGATGGCAATGCTCCCAGGGTGTGATCATCTTCTCGTAATTTGCGGCTTCTTGCAATCGTGCAGAAGTAGGATGTTTCAATTCAATAGATGTACCAAGTGCATCAATTTATATACTATTGTTCAAGCCAGAGAACCGGGTCTGCAAATACCCAAATAGGTTGGAGGCCATCGCTCTTAGGTGGGAGGCCATCGCTCCCAGTTTCTTGAAATGGGATGGTGATAGTGCAGACTCCGTAGACCTTTGACAGCATCAGGAATTCTACACTTCATTCCGGGGCCAGAGTGCAAAAGTAATTCCCGTGGGAAATCTCTGAACCAACGGCCAATCTAGTTGTTTCTGCAACTTGTGCAACTTGTGCTTCCAGTTGTTTCTGCAACCTACGGTCAAGCTTCTCAGGTGCGCAGCCACCAACGTGCTTCGCACGACATTTTGTGGAACCATGGACTACCTCGCCCCTGAAATGATCCAGGTTCGATGACGCAAGACCTTTGACACATTGCATTGAGGCTATGAGGTTGAGTTTGTCTTTTTCGCAATGTTTTTTTCGCATACGCAACCCTGCTCAGGGAAGTGGTCATGACCAGACGCTGGATATTTGGAGTGTGGGCATCCTCCTGTATGAGATGATGGCTGCGAACTTAGCTTCGAGATTCACCAAACCGAAAACCGAGTATATAGTCCGACCATTCTGTGGCATTTTCAACAGGCCAGTCAGACCTTACAAGATTGCACTGGTTCCCTTTCTCCTCTGCCCCTTTGCTCAACCAAAGATGCCCATCTCTCAGGGCTTCCTGTAAGTGGGAACCTCCAAACAAAACTGTCAGATTTGCACCCAAACCTCTCTGCGGTTTGCGGGTGGGTCTTCACGGGTCACGGGTCAGGTTGGCCGACCGCCCTTCCAGAGTACCAATCACACAATGCTGATTGACAGGACAACAAGAAAATGAAGCATAGCAGTATATCGGTCTACGGTCTACGGATCAGCTAGAGCTAGAGCAACAATATTGTATGCTTGCTCAGAGTAGCAAACTCTGCTGCAAATGCTGCTCTAAGTCACTGCAGCTTAGAACATCCCCATCTGGCAGGATATTGAAGATTGCAATATTCTTCCCGGTGACGGCCCCAGTCAAGCGAACAAATCTCAAGAGTGAGTAGCAGACACTAGTGCATGATTTAGAGTATTGTAGGAGACACTATATAGTGGATGTTGCATCGATCAAATAAAGTAAGGGATTATACAGTATACAACACTCTCCAGAACTCTCCGGTGCTGTATCTGGAGTCATGTTGGGCCATTGATGAGCCCATTCAAATGCGATGGCCTCCAACCTAAGATGTTTGGGATACCCCAGTTTGTGCTCGATCCAAGCATAGTGCAGGGCCAAGGGTAGGGCGGCAAGTTTCCATCTCCACCGTCGCCCAGCCTGGCTTGCCGCCTTTGGTGGTGGATCTGGTCCGACGTCTGCTGAAACGGGAGCGGGCATCGAAGTGCGAAAACTCATCGAAGTGGGCAGCTTCGAAGCAAGTCGACAACAACCAGACTTGAGTTAGGAACTCTCCTGTTCTCCCTTCTCATACAAAAGCCGGTAGTTTTGGGAGACCTTTTTTTGGAAGACCTGCGCGAGGAGCCATCGCAACGGCTTCCACTGGACCAAGTCCTGAGGCGTTTGGCGGCCTTTCAGGGTGAAGTCCAAGAACGGCTTGCTTGGGGTGAATCATTGTGATTCATTTTTCATGGACTTGAGTAGTCAAGTCATGAGTAGTTAGGGTTCAGATAGTCATTGTGGGTTCAAAAAGCCCGTTTCTCGCAGTTTCCCCACTTCTTTCACCACTTCTCGGTATTTCTTTCGTATTGTTACCATCCTCATTCCCGGACCTAGAGCCAGAACCTTTCCTTCAGACTTGCATGTCAAGTTTCCATGTATAAAAATCTAGGAACCAAATCAATAAAGCGTGAGCTATCCTGTGTCCAGTTCATAGGAGCAAACTTCTCCTAGTAGCGAACTAGTCGCCCTTAATCAATTAAGTCGGCGCCAACTTACATAAGTAATGTATGTAAGTAGGGAGGCAGGGCCACAGGAGAAAAACAAGGATTTGGTTGGTCCCAAGAAGAAGTGCCTTGCAATTCGCTCCCCGAAGCTTGCTTGGAACAGGCATCCTTGGGTTCTCTCCAAAGCCGAGGCGCACAACTTGGAGGAGGGTGGTAGCTCCATGATGACCCCTGCAGTATAGCATCTGAGAATTGAAGTGGGAAGTGTTGTGACATTGGCTTCTTTTCTTTCCTTCTACATTGCACGAATTCTACCTCTTTGTTGAACCCGCAGGTGCAATCCGAGCCCTCACTCACCAAGTCGTTGGGAACCCAGGGGCAGAATCCTTAACACCAAGCCCCTGAAGTGTCACCCTGCAGTACAGATTGGCACCTGCCTTGAAGAAGTGCAGTTTCAGATGGACGGTGTGACTTCAGCGTGAAAGTCGTTGCATCATCCAATCGTTTGAAGCAAAAACAGCTCTGCCGTGTGACCGAGGCAGCAGTTGCCTGCACCGTCAACTCCGTGACCGTTGCATGTTGAAAGTGCAGAAGACGGGCTCTGCATTTTGCAGCCCTGGAGTCCTCAATGTTTTAGTATGTTTATTGTTACTAGATGTTACTAGTAGCTTTATTGTTACTACTAGCGATGGCCTCCAACCTAGTAGCTTCTTGGTACTCGTACGATGTTTGTTGGACTCCATGTGGCGCCGCTGCCAGGCCCTCGAACAGTTCAAAGCACTTGCCATTGCATGGGGCCAAGCCGCCAGATAATGCATACGCGTCTGCATGAGCATTCTGACCTCTATGCGTTGTCCTATGTATGGTCATTAATATACGCATCCCTGAAATACATCTTGAATCTGGCCACAGCATATGCTGTATGTGTCAGCCTCAAGGTACCCACCTCATTTCCAAAGGCCTTTGTTCCACGTCATGACCGTCATGGTATCAACATATTTTCTTTGGGTTTCTTGCCCAGAGTGCTCAAGGCGGTTGGGATGAATCAATCCACAGGTCACACCGAGCACCACTCTTGTTTTCTGCAAAGATGCATGGAAATTCTCGGATCATGTCGTGATGATTTGCTTTGCCTGCCTCTCTGCTGCAATTGCAGTGTTGACTCTTCCTTTGTCCAAATGACTTTTGTGTTGACGTGTTCTCTCTCTCTCTCTCTATTCTTGGTGCTTCGCACGGGGCACCTCTTGATTTCAACAACATTCTTGCGTCGGTTCACTTTGCCGACCCGACCTCTCAAGTCAGGTTCGTTTGTGCCAGTGATTCGAAGAAGACTGATTCGTATTCCTGTCATCACCGGATTATTGTGTCCACTTGCACAACCACAATCAGCTTCAATCAATGTCAAACTTGGCAAATCAGTGGGACAGTCGAGGCAGAAGCATCAGGTTGAATGGCCTTTTCTGGTCAAGCAGGTTCACACCTAGCTTCAAGCCGCGTGGGATTTGCAAATAAGGGCCTCAAAGCCTCCAACCTAGTAGCTTCTTGCTGCCAGGAGCCCCTAGTAGCGTCCTCTTGCTACTAAGGGCCTCAAAGCTGGAGATAGCATGCAGCGAAGAAGATAGCATGACCTATTTTTGTGATTCGATTTGAGGCAACAGAGTGGCCGCGTAGGATCTTGTGAGCAGGCCTGCAAACTGGTGCACGCGAGAGACTATCATAATATTTCTATGACTCTTTTTGTTTCCCAGACACGTTCAATCGAGTGAACCACATTAGTTTTATGGCCTAGCCTCCTTCTTAGTGGAGGGCTTGGATCCATCCTCCTTTCTTTGCAGTTGGAACAAGCGGTCAAAAGCAATATGGAAGCGTCAGGTGCTGCACGTGACCTCTCCGCGGAACAGGGCGTCTGGTGCCGGAGGCCCCCGAAACGGGCAATAGAATGAATGGAGCATTCACCACAAATGATCTCATTCAGCAAGTTGGGAGTTGTATTGGCAGAAAGACTTGCAAGTTATGCTGGTCTGGTCCATAGCTGGCCTGCTCCAGGAATGCTTCTTTGTTCCACGTGCGGAGACAAAGCCGCTCGTTGGTTCAGGTGAAGCGACTGGGGAGCGCTCCAGCACTTCCACGCCAGTCTCCTCTGCTGCTGCTCCAGTGCAGGTGTCATGGCCTGTGTCCAGCCCGTCTGTGGCTCGTTGCCGAACTAAGTCTGTTTTTATTGGGAGCTGCTCTTCCAAAGACAGGTTCAGTTTTGTATAACTGCAAAAGAAAGGCATGATCCCACGAAACTGCCGTCTTTAGACAGCAAATGATGGGCACCCTCATCCTATCGTGGCATTGAATTCTGACCAATTATTCACTTCAAAAAGGCTGCATTCATTTGATTGACACTTTTGCAGATATATACCAAAGCATCTAGTAACAATAAGCTACTAGGAACAGGTGCATCGCTACTAGTAACAAGTGCCTTACTAGTAGTAACAAGAAGCTATTAGTAACAAGTGCCTTATTAGTAGACCAAGTGTCTTGCAGGCTAACCTTATGGCCACACCGAAGATGCCGCACCGCGCAGCCTGCTGTGCACGGTTGGAAAGAGACACTGTGTCAAAGTGAAGTGCAAATTTGAATTCTAATTAAACTTAATTCTAATGGCAAACATTGTTACTACTAGTAAGGCACTTGTTACTAGTAGCGATGCACTTGTTCCTAGTAGCTTATATAGTGCTTCAATTGCCATTTACGCTGCGTAGCCATGTGCGAAGAGAAAGGCCAAAAGCGCTGCATCTGAAATGTTTGAATACCTAAGGTGCATCGCTACTAGTAGTAAAGACGCTACTACTAGCAAGGTGCCTTACTACTAGTAGCTTGTTACTACTGTACTACTAATGCACCATGCTACTAGTAGCTTCAAAGTTTCTTGCCAGGCAGTTCGAAAGGTACCATGGCCCAATTCGCGGGTGGCCAAGAAAAGCTCATGCCGATGAGATTGCTTGGAATTGAGAGGCCTTCGCCCTCCTTCTCGCGGCTTGCCGTGCCTTAGAATTCGCTTGACCAAGGCAGAACCAACCTCAATCCAACGGATACCAGGCAGGGGTTGCTGAAGGGCTCATTGGGGCTATTGGCAGCTTCCTCCTACAACAGCGACGAACATAGAACTTCATAAGGTGTATAAAATGCTTGCTACGGCTAGACAAAGCTCAGGCATAAGAGCACAAGATTTGCTTGAGGTCTTTTGCTGGATCCCCTAAGAATCCGCAATCACTATGCTTCCATGGTTTAGGTATCATTCACGCAAGTCTAAGACTTGTGACATTGATTTCTGATTTGCCAGAAGCGACACGTGGCATCGCCCACGGGAACACCAGTCCTCACACGCCGAGGCACGTTTTCCATATGGTGAGGGGGGAAGAGAGGTTCAAGACGGTCATCTTATCTTGGTAAAAGACATGGGACGCACGTGGAAGGATCGCCATGTTTTTCAAACACTCTATTTTAATCCTCTTTCAAATTACTGCAGCTATAGATACATCTTGTGTACTTCTTTTTTTAGCAGTTTTGTGGGCGATAGGCCATAAAGAGGCCGGGGTGCGGGAAGGGAGGCCAGTAAGCCAGGTGGCTATCGTACGAGAAAGCTACAAGCAGCTATCCGATACTGACCGGACACAAAAGGGGGAAGGAAGAAGCTTTGTCGAAGAACTTTTCTGGTTGAGGAAACGAAAAAACTTTTCCTTCCTTTCCGTGCCTTTTCCTTTCTTTATTTCCAAAACAGTAAAGAGCTTGTCCAAGGCCGGTTGAACACCGGGGCGTGTCGTACAGGGAGTAATAGGACAGGCCCGAAATATCGTCCCAGATTTTTCGAGGTGTCGCAGTGACGGTGACCATGGCTGCAAAGGTCTCAGTTCTCATGCTGTCATTGTCCCTTGCTACTTTACCAGACATAATGCTGATGCATTTTATCCCTAGCTACTAGGGGCTCCTGGCATCGCTACTAGGAGCAAGGACGCTACTAGGGGCTCCTGGCCGTACTACTAGGAACAAGAAACTACTAGGAACAAGAAGCTACTAGGGAGGAAATTATTCTTTTCCTTTAGACCTTTGGACCATTCTTCTTTTTCTTCATTCTTTCCCCCCAAGAAACATACGTCATCCCTTCCACTGATTCCCAAGACCAGAATGCTTTTGGAAAAAACGGTTCTCACCATTTGTCCAGCTTCCTGAGGGCACTCCGCCAGGTGCCGGCCACAGATTTTGATGAGAACGTGCGACCACGGAAGCTTCGCAAATGGAAGCAACCGTTTCGGGGTTGACACTTTTGTCACAAAGCAATGCATGGACCTGACAGTGCAAAACACGCGACACAGCTTCAGAACTAAATGGTATTTTCTCGACGATGTTGGCCCTGTGCCGGATGACTTCAGGACGGGAAGCTGGTAAAACAAATGGGCGAGCAATACGCAGGCGCTGTGTCCAGGGTTGCCCTTTAGTGTCTTAATTGCAGATCCAATTGCTTACTAAAAGTGAGTCTTTCATATGTCTTTTGGTCCACGATCTTTCCTAAAAATCTAGGATAGTGCGTGAGCTATCCTGCGTCCAGTTCCTAGGAGCGAACTTCAAATAACAAACTAGTCGCCCTTACTCAATTAAGTAGGCGCGTACTTAACTACTGTAAGTAGGGAGGGGGGAGCGGTCTAAAAAGAAACAAGAGGCACCAGGTCTAAGGTAGATTGTGAAAGTCGAATTCCCATTTGCCAGGCCTGAGAGCCCAGAGGCTACTCGCTCTGCGAGCAAAGGGAGGCCAGCGTTGCATGCTGTTGGAGAACTCTCCTTTTGAAGGATTTGTTTTGGAAGGAGTGTGAAAGGAACATTAGTACACAAGACCCCTTCCAATATTAGAATGAATCAAGAGTGGTGGCTCCAGACCAGGTCCTTGTTAATCTTTGCCATGGCAAACACATCGATTCCAAGTGGAGCACATGCGACATGAACGCATAGTGACGGAACCAGACTTGCCTTTATGCTCGCTAGATGTTGGTGTTGCTATTTGAAGGGAAGAAGATGCTGTACTGTTCAAGGCAAATGACTTTTTACAAAAATAAGAAACAAGCAAATGCTATCTAGTTGGCAATTCCTCCTTTCTTCAACCGACACGGCTTGAAACATGACTAGGCGAAACTACTATGAGGCATATTTACCTTCGAGACCAGTTTCCCGTAGTTCACATGCCAATCCAATGGGATCGAATGTGTCAAAAGGGTACCAATGACTTGTTGTTTAGTCTCAGAGTCAAGTTTCTGTTCAGCAAATCTAACAAGTGAGGATACACCTTTGCTCTTCGACCCTAGACTTGTTGACAGCACTTTGACCTTTATGGGACACATTATGGCACATTCCTTCAATTGTTCAAGGATTCTTGTGCTTGCCCAACTGTCAGCTCCATTCGCAGATGTAGATGTTACATCACATGAAATAGCTGCCTTCACACTCCGTTTTGATTGATTTCTTGCAGATCCCCAACGTCGACTTCTGTTCCACCTCCCGACACTAGGAGCGCACATGTCGCATCGTGTTTGGGCTCCTTTTTTCCTTGACTAAAGGACTGATCAATGAGATGCTTCTTGCCAGAGGACTAAAGGTCTATTTGTGGCCATGACAATGGGTGCCGCATGCCTTTGGGATACATGCACACTCAATTGGCATTCACCCAATCGCAAATCAAGGCAATCGGGAGCTAATGAAGCGATCTCTTGTTCGGCTGGCCATGTAAAGTTGGTCGAATTCAGCATACCTCACCTGTCCTCGTGGCAGGACTGGACGGACAGAAGTGAAAGCCCCTGTCTATCAGGCTCGATTTGGGGCCCTTTCAGCCAGGGATAGATTCAACACCTTCTATATATGGCATGTTGTACGTAGTACACGGCATGTCACGAAGCGACCGGTAGATTGTGGCCCAAAGTTGTTTCCTGGAGGGTGGGATCCAGCTGCGCCGCAATGGAGGAGGAAGACGACTGGGGTCTGATCTGCAGCCTTGCAGGTCTGAAGGGCTGGGAGTCAGATGCCCTCAGGCGGTCGGGCTGGACGGTGACACGTCTAGCGACCGTGCAAGGCTGTGACCCCAGCGTCTTAGACGCCATCGTGTGGCGAGTTCAAGAGCGAGAGGAGGCCTTCGCGGTCAACCGCGAGAAGATGGAGGACCTGGTGAAGAGAGCTGCTAGCAGGGCGAAGACCCGACACCTCGTGGACGCGAAGAGGGGCTCACAAGAGTTGTTCGAAGCACACGTGGCGCACCAGCGAGAGATGAGAAGAAAGACCTTCGAAGATGTCGTCGACAACGACGTGGATGCTCGGGTGCAAATGGTGGGCACCGCAAAGCGGTCGAGGTGGCCGACGCGTCTCAGCTTGAAGCTGCATATCGCTTCGAGCGATCTGGCGATGCGGGAGCTCGCTGAAAAGCAGGAGCGAGACCGGTGGGTGAAGGAGCTTGGCGACATCATCAGAGATGCCGGACTCCCAGCGGCAAAGCGCTCCAGCGGAGATTCGCTGATGCTCAGGGTGGCGAAAGGCCGTAGAGCCAACACTTTGAGAAAGCATGTAAAGACGTGGCACAAGGTGTCACGGTGGATGGAGGCGGTCTTTCATTGCCGGTGGCCGCACAATGCGGATTGCTTCGCCGAGTTCATCGAGGCAATGATTGAAGAGCCCTGCGCGAGAACTTTCCCAGAGTCGGCGTTCAAGTCGTTGATGTTCTTGGAGTACGCCGGAGAGGTGCCAGAGGCGGATCAGATGTGCAGGTCGCTGGCGGTGAAGAACGTCCTAGAGGAGGCATCGCTACGGCTGCAGAGCGTGGAGCTGAAGCCAAGCAAGGACGCGCTGGTACTGCCGGTGGCGGTGATCATGGCGTGGGAGGTCCACGTCTGCGATGAGAAGGAGACGAACTACTCCAGGGCCTACGCATGGTTCAGGCTCATCAAGCTGTGGACGGGGATGCGCTTCGATGACACCAAGGGCACTCCGAACAGGACCATGGAGATGACCGAGTGGGGCCTAAAGGGAGTGATCAACAGGTCGAAGACTTCGGGGCCAGGGAAGCGTGTGATCTTGCTTCCCTTCTACGTCAGCCACGAGGCGTGGCTGGCAGAGCGCGGCTGGCTGTCGGTTGGATGGAAGCTATGGACGGCGATGGGCTCGGAGTCGGGCATGCTCATGAGGGACTTCATGCTGCCTTGGCCCAACAAGGACTGTAGCGGCTTCATCAGGAAGGTGGTCGACTACCCGATCGCCTCGACTATGTCGAATGCGCTCTTCAATGAGCTGAAGTTGAGGCAGGGCGAGAAGTTCACCTCGGTGATGGTGCCAGGCATCGGGGTGCTGTGGACAGAACACAGCGAGCGGGTGACAATCCGCACCTGGGCACAGGCGGCAAGGATTCCGGAAGACGTCCGGAGGATGATCGGTCGATGGCGACCATCGGCTGACGAGGGATATGAGAAGAATGTGAGGATCAACGTCCTACGCTGCCAAAAGGTGCTCGCTGCTTTCGTGCGGGAGAATTTGACCAACTCGGACCCGTTCGATGAGACGATGGTGGTGCAGTTGGTCGAGCAGAGAATGAAGGGCATGAAGTACTCGCAGGAAGAGATCGATGAGCAGCTCATGCGGCTCATGACATTCATGCCGGGTGAGGGCCAGGCGAAGCAGTGCCGCAAGCCCAAGTGGACCACCACGGGGCCGGTGGTGCTGGTGGAAGAGTTGGATGACACAGTGGAGGTGAAGGCAGAGCCTGATCGCGTGGATGGTGGCGAGCAGGAGCACTCGGAGGAGGAGGTGCAGCAGCCGGCAGTCGCGCCGCTGGAGAAGGTGACTGGCACCTTCGTGGTGTCCATCGTGGGGAGGTCGAAGACCAAGACCCTGCATCGAATTGGTGAATGCCATAGACAACCTGGATTGCATTACTCGCAGTTCGAGGTGCTAGGGGACGAAGTTCCCGAGGCATCGGCATATCACCGGGCATGCCGCCAGTGCTTTCGCAAAGGGATTGCGGCGGCAGAGAATGCTCTTGAGGATGATTCCTCAGGAGAGGTATCCTCGTCGGAGATGACGGACTCCGAGGAAGAGGATAGCACGGGGTGAAGAGTACAGTCGGTTCAGATATCACCTCGTGATGAGGGGGGCCTCGAAAAGGGGGGTCAGAACCAGAAGAAGTGAAACCGCACAGGACACGAGAGAAAAGGAGTGGGGTGCGGCAGGTAGGACGCGGGCGCAAGGGGTGGCGTCGCGTCAGGGAGTGCCGTACCGAGTCGAGGACTAGTAGCTAGCGCCTAAGTAGGTCGGCAGGAGAGGACGGGGGGTCGTCGGTCGCTCGTCGAGAGTTCCACGGAAGTTTTGTGTCTTGTGAACGGGTTGTGAGTTGAACTTGTGCTGTCATGTGTTCACACGGTCCGTGCAAACACTGAGTGTCAACCCTGTCAGGTGAATGAACGCGGTGCGAGTTTTTTTCGGCCCAAACAGGAGCGAAGGGGTGGGTCGAAAGTCGTGTCGGCAAAGACGAGGCCGGCGCGAGTGAAGGGATCGGTACATGGCAGGTATCGGTCATGACACGGAGGAGAGGCGGAAGAACGCCATTGCTTTGATAGATGCAGACCTTCATGGACTTCTTCAAGTCAAGGAGGTCGACGAGGTGCTGCAAGCAAAGCTATCCGTCGCCAAGATTCGGAGCATGAGCAGGATGAGCACCGTAGCCGACGATCGTGCGGGCATGAGGAGGTTCTGCACAGAGGCCCTGACGTTGGATGAGACGCGGGACATCGTCGAGATTGCCTTGCTGGTCGACGCATGGGAGTCTGCCAGCGCCAGGGTGACGGTCAGGAACAAAGCCGAGGCCGAGGCAGGAGTGGCAAACCTGCCCAGGGCTTTGCACAAGGTGGAGATCCAGGAGCTACTTGTGAAGTTCCAGAAAGTGCACGGCATCAAGTTGGAGGACAGAAACACTCCAGCGGCCACAGCACTGGAGCAGGTCTTTGATCAAGTGGAACAAGGAGAGCTTAAGAATATGAGCTTGGTTCAATTCCTGAGCCGAGACGACGCGGAAGCGGACATCCTGGGGGCCACTGTGGAGAAGAGCACGGGCACACTCAAGATCAAGAAAGGCTACGGGGAGTGCCAGAAACCTCGTAGCCCAGAAGAATTTCGCAAGAGGATGTCGGTCGTGGCGAATGCCTACCTCCTAGCCCAGTTGAAATATCCGCAGAAAGCAAGCCTTCGTGATCTACAACCTCAACACTTCCTCAGGTATTTAGACTTGATGCTGGGCGAACATGTGTTGGGTTTGAAGGCTCGCAACAAGGAGGGGGAGGTGATTGCCACACCGGAGTTCGATTTGATGCTGTCGTACGACTACCAGATACGACGACAGATGGTGAAGCTGGTTAATGAGGGGGCCACCATGGCGGAAGCCCTCAAGGAGGCCATGACAGATACCACTATCAAAGAGAGGCACTTCCTTACGCCGAATGTGTACTCACAAGTGTCCTCCACGGCCAGTGCATCGAGAGGAGACTACCAGCGGTCTCGCAGTCCGCCATGGCGAAGAGCATCATGGAACTCAGACTCCTACGAGCAGCCCAAGGGCAAAGGGAAGAGCAAGAAAGGAGGAAAAGGCAAGAGCAAGAAAGGTCGACAGATGCACGACAGGACACCGGATGGCCGCCAGATTTGTTGGAGGTGGAACAATCCCAGAGAGAGATGCCGGTTTCAGTGTGGTCGCCTTCATGTGCGCCAGCTATGCTTTGGGAGTCATCCAGCCCATGCTTGCGATGGTTCAGGAAGCAGCAAGGATACGGCCGGGACGGGGGCCGACGCAACCAAAGCGGCTTGAAGCCGCAGAAAGGGGAGGGCAGCCTCACTCTCCCCGGACCAAGAGGGCACAACGAGAGGCACACGTACATGCCGGGTGCTGTATTTGTTTAGCGGGGCTCACCGCAAGGCATCAGTGGGAGCAATCCTGCAAGAGTTGACAAAAGGCACTGGCATCGAATGCGAATTGCATGAAGTTGATATCCAGAACTCCCCAGAGTGGGACCTTACAGACAAAGGGTTGCAGGCCAAATTGATTGGCCAACTACAGCAAGGCTACTACCACGTGGTCTTGATCACACCTCCATGTTCCACATGGAGTCGAGTCCGCGGGGCCAATTGTCGGGGCCCACCTATGATTCGCTCCAGGCAACACCCATGGGGCTTTCCATGGCTGTCCAAGCGTCATCAGAAGGACGCAGATCTCGGCAACGAGTTGATCCGGTTCATGCTGAAAGTGCTGCAGACGCTGGAGGCCCATCCATCTACACAGGACGGCCGCCTCGTGCTGGTCTTCGGCGAACATCCAGAGGACTTGGGCACCATCACTCGAGAAGAGGATGGCATGGTCATGGAGCCGGCCTCAATATGGCAACTGCCGGAGTTACGTCATTTTGCCCAGGCGGGCAATGTCTTGCACCTCTTCACGGTCGTATTTCATCAGTGCTGTTGGTCCGCTCCATATCGGAAGCCCACTCGGCTCCTTACAAATCTGGACGCTCTGCGCTCTTGGGGCCCCCTCTCATGGCCTCAGTTCGACTCTTTCGGACACTATCAGGGGCCCGCCATCGACATCTGTCAGTGCAAGACCTCCATTACACTGGCAAGGCAAGCTCATGACGACACTTTTCGCACTACAAGCACCTCTATCTATCCCGAACCTATGGATAGAGCGATTGCCGAGGCCATCTTTCAGGCTTTGCTAGCTGCCCCCTCTTCAGCTGAAGAGGGGGTAGGAAAGAAGAGGGGTCAGCTACGCACAGAAGAAGTCGAGAAGAGGCAGAAGACGTCGGGCCATGAGGAGAGGTTGAGCAGGTCGGGCGACTCAACATTGTGCAGTGCAGGGTCGGGCGAAGCAACATTGAGCAGTTCAGGGCCGTGCAAAGCAACATTGAGCACTGCAGTGCCGTGCAAAGCAACATTGAGCAGTGCAGTGCAGAACAAAGCAACATTGAGCAGTGCGGTTCGGAGCAGAGCAACATTGTGCAATGCAGAGTTGGACAATGCGGTGTCGGGGTCGAGCGGTCGACCTGGCATTGGCCCCCCCATGCAGGTGAAGTACAAGGGAGATCTCAGATCCATCCACGACGGAGCTGGGCTATGCTCTCCTGGTCGGTGGCCAGTGGGCAAGAGGACGGCCCCTGTCACGCAGCGAGGCCGGGAGCTCGCGAGATGGTGTTTGAGGGCCTTCGAGGACTGGGTGGAGCTCGAAGGTGATGAGACGGCCAAGAAGAAGTTCTGGCTCCTGGCCGCGGGAAAGCTGGGCGGCTCCCTGTTCGGGGGAGAGGTGTACGGCTTTCGCGAGCGGCTGGACTTGTGGCTGGAGGAGCGGGGCCTTAGTCCTGCGAGGAGGTCCGGGGACCGAGACACCGAGATCAACTTTCGCAGGTTGAGGAGTGTGGCAGAGGCTCTGGCAGACGAGGACTTCGAGTTCTTGGACGAGGTGGCGGCTACAGGGGTCCCACTGGGCGTCGATGAGGAGATGCCCAGAAACCCTGCGGTCTACGAAGAGAAGCAAAAGTGGACTGTTGAGCTGACAGAGGAGGACTTCCATGACACTCTAGCAGACAACTATTTGTCTGCCGAAGAGAATGCTGGGGACATAGTGCGGCAGGTCATGGAGGAGGTTCAGAAGGGCACGATATTGCGGCTGAGCGAGAAGGAAGCCCGGAGGAGGTTTGGTGGACGCTTGGCCGTCGCTGCCTTGGGGGCTGTCCCCAAGGAGCTAGGGACCAGCAGGGTGCGCCTGATCCACGATGGCACCTACAGCGTGGACGTCAACCGGCGCATACGAGTCAGGGATCGCATGAGGTTCCCGCTCATTGATGACGCTGCGGCTGTCCTCAGACAGGTGCGTGACGAGAAGGAGGAGAGCGGTGAGATCATCAGATTCTCGGTCCTGTACGACATCGCTCGGGCACACAAGTTGATTCCCATCCGGGAGGAAGACTGGGGGCTACAAGCTTTCAGGCTCCCGGGTGAAGACAGTGGGGACGTGTTTGTCCACACTCGGGGAACCTTCGGCATTGCGAGTGCGGCCTACTGGTTCGGCAGGGCCATTGGGGTGGCGGTGCGGTGCACCCATCGAATCATGGGCCGCCACATGGGCCTACTACATCTGATCTATGCTGACGACGGTTGGCTGACAGCTGTGGGGCCAAAGTTTTGGAAGAAGGTGTTGATGTGGTTGTTCATCTACGAGCTTCTGGAGATTCCCATCACCTGGGCTAAGGTCCGTGGTGGGACTGAAGTGAACTGGATTGGGTACTACCTCAACGTGTCCACCTTCGAGCGCGGCATAAACGAATCCAAGCGCGCTTGGATCACCAAGTGGGTGAATGACAAGCTATCCCAGGGCAGCGTGGTCGGGCGTGAGCTGAAGTCAGTGTTAGGACGCCTGTCCTTCGTCGCAGGGGCCTTACGCCACGTGAGGCCCTTCCTGTCCCCGCTCTTTGCCTGGTCGGCATCGCTGGCGGGTGGCACGTTCGCAAAGTTCCCGGACGCTGTGGCGATCTTGCTGGAGTATGTGAGAGAAGAAGTTGCACGAAAGCCAACAAGGCCCCTGGAGCCACTGCGGGCGAAACCCTTTGACATCTTCCGCGTGGACGCCAAAGCTGCGGGCGAAGAGATTGTCATAGGTGGTTGGGAGACCTGGAAAGAGGTCAGTCAGAGGTCGGCACGCTGGTTCTCCTTCAGGCTCAACAGGAAGAACGCTGCCTGGGCCTATCTTAAGGGAGACCCCTTCAGGTCCATTGCTACGTTGGAGCTGATCGGAGTGCTGGCAGCGGTCATGGTCTTCGCCCCCCGGGCAGAGTGGGGTACTGGTGATGTAGTAGTTACTTTGACGGCCTACACGGACAACCTTGGGAACACACATGTGCTCAAGAAGTTCGGCAGCAGCAGGTTTCCGTTGAGCATTGTTGCGATGGAGTTGGCTTCGCAACTGGACAGTCGAGGCATCGATCTCGATTTGCAGTGGGTGCCGCGCTGGCAAAATCAGGAAGCAGACGATTTGACCAACGAGAGATTTGACGACTTCGACGAAGCGAACAGGATAGAAGTGTCGTTCGAGTCGATGGAGTTCATGGTCATGCATCGCCTCCTGGATAAAGCTGGCAAGCTTGACGAGGAGCTTCGTTTGTACAAGACGTCGAAGGAAGCCAAGCAGGCGACTCTCAAGAAGTCCACCGAGAGCAAGGCGAAGAAAGGTCAACTCCGTTGGCAAGATCCTTGGTGAAGAAGGCGGGAGGGTCGCAGCAGTCGTGCGTTTCTCCTCACAAACTAGTCTACTATAGAGTGGGGTCGTGCGGTCCTCACTGTACGCTAAAGTGGGGGGAAAAGTACAGTGAGACCATGGTAGGACTTCACAGAGATACT